CCCTCACACACACACACAATTGCACACACACACACACACACACACACACACACACACACACACACATACACACACACACGCTCGCATGCACGCACGGGCGTATGATCATCGCCGCACCTCGCTGTCCACCTCCCAGGCCTGCATGGCGTCCATCCGCTCGATCGCCGCCTGTAGCTCGGCAGTCACCCTGTCGCCCGCGCCCGCGAGCGCCCGTTCGTATTCCTGCAAGGCGAATGGCGAGATTGGCGGCGGCGGCGGCAGAACCGCATGTCGATTCAGGCACACAAGGGTCACACTTCCATCTGGCTCTTTCGGGCTTCTGGAGGGTGCCGGTGTCAAGCACGGTTCCTCAACATGGTCGCCCCATCGCGTAGTATGCAGGCGCAAGCGCGGGCGGCGCGGAGGGGCCCGCTTCGCAGGGCGGTGGGAGCGCCACGCCCTGACGCGTCTCGGGCAGCAACGCAGGCGGCGCCCTCGAGTCCCCTTGTGCCTGCACTAAGCTGATCCGCATAATACAACATCAAACAATCACCTGCACAGCCCTGACCACGTCATTGTCGCTTGAAAGCACAGCCTGCAGCACGGTCATGCCGCTGACGCCGCCGCCGCCGCCCCCGCCGCGGCCCGCCGACCCCTTCTTGCCGCTGCGGCCACTGGAGGGGGCGTCGTCGTCATCCTCGTCACTTGATGACAGGATCATGTCTGACTGTGAGCATCGATGAAATTCAATGGTTCAGCCATAATGAACGCGGGCGTGCTGCTGCGGCGGCTGCGGCAGGGGACAACGCGGCGCCCATCCACTTTGCTTGCTGCCTGTAATCGGCTGACCGCAGATGCCAGTGCTGGCAGCGACCAGCGCCCGAGGGCGCCGGCGGCGCACGAGGAGGGGCGCCGAGCGCGAGCGGTACCAGCCAGCGCGCTCGGGGTGCAACGGGGCGCTCCAATGGACGTTGACGCAGAGGCTGAGATTCATGGGCTCGCGCGCGCTTGCATGTATGTGCGCACCTGCGGGAGGTATCCGATGCGTGCCCCCTTGTTGCGGGTGACCACGCCGCCATTGTGGTTGCTCTGGCCCGCAATGATCTTCAGCAGAGTGGACTTGCCTGCTCGTTGGATGGGTGTGTGTGTGTGTTGGTGTGTGTGTGCGTTGTGTGTGTGCCACCATTGGATACAGCGTCTGATGCAGTACACATGCAACGTGCAGCTGACAGGCGAGGATGTTATAATGCGCGCCGAACATGCCATGCCGCTGTGCCGCGTGGAGGGCTGCTCAGCGTGGTGCGCGCGCGCGACGCGGCGCCCCAGCGGCCGCGCCAGGCGGGGAAAGGCGGACAAAGATGCGCACACATATGCGCCGCGGCTCACCCGCGCCGTTTGGGCCCACGATGGCGAGCTTGTCGCCCGCGCTGCGCAGGCGCGAGGACGGGCAGCGTGCACAGGATGGGCACAGCACGTGCGCGATGTGTGAGGGTTGCCCATGGCGTCACGCGGGACCACACATCTAGCAGCCAAAGGCAGCTGCCAGAGGAGGTCGTCCCCGTCACAAACCCGACGGAACGCCCGGCCGCGAGGCACCGCCTTTCGTCACTCACGTCACTTCACAACAAACCGGCCGGCGGGACCCGCGGCGCGATCGCGGGCGGCCTCTGCCCACATACGGCGCCCACCTGATCGAAAAGCTCAGGTTTTGGAATAGCATCCTGTCCCCATCGTGGGTCTTGCTGAGGGCGTCCGCTATGAGCAGCACGTCCCCCCGCTTGCCGGCGCCAACAGCCACGCTGCCCGCGGGCCGCCGCCGCCACGCGGCAAATCGGCCGCCTGCCATGGTTTTTCGCAGAGAGTGTGCAATGGGGCACGCTGGTGCGCATGAGGAAATCAAGATTGGCGGTATCAGCACCTCATGCTTCATACGAGCTGAATCGGCGCCGCACCTGGCCGCCAGCCGCTGACCGGCAGCGATGCGCAAGCACCAGCGCCACCCGCTGCAGAGGCCGCTGCGCTCGCACGGCGCACGCTCAATTGCCGCTGCATGGCGTTTGTCGGGTGATCGAGTAAATTTTGTGTATTAATTCAATTCATCGGTTGCCGCCTCACGCTAATGGAGGCCTGCCAGGCTGATTGATGTGGCCGCCGCGAACGATCCACTGCCCTGATTGCGTAGGTGTCGATGAATAAAACAATCTTACAAAATTTTGCAGCGGGTTTGGGCGGTGCGACATAGGGACATTTGTCACCAGCCATACCTGCTGGTGCCCAGGCCTTCAGACCTGAAGACCGTGCGCCTCGGCTGTGCGTGGCGCCATGTGCTGAAGCAAGCAGCCTGCCATACTGTGAGTTCAGCGCAAAACACCTTGCAAAATGCGCCTCTGAGAAGCTGCACATGTGGCACAATTTCACAGCGCCGTACCGTAATGTGCGACAATGGTTGCAAGATTCATTACAAATTGAGCAGTCATCTCGATGATAGGCATGATATCGGGCAAGAGTGGTGTACACCAAGGCGAACCGGCAGCTTTTGACATGCACGCTACTATCTGCTGGTTTGATTCCAAACGCATGCCAAACCCAGCCGTGATGAAGGTGCACAGTCGGCCGCCAGACAGATGCAGGGGCCCAGTGCGGCAGCTGGGCAACGAGCACATAAGTGTGATAAGGCTTGTGACCAGCACATTTGTGATGGAGAGTGCACACGGGGAGATCGACACAATCAGAAATTCAACCCAATCAGATGCATGCGTCTTGGAATGATCGACTGGACACAAGGCTGTGTTGTGTCGGAAGGCAGGCGCCGCCAGAGGCAACCTTGGATGACGCGAATCGCTACCCTACCGGCACCACATCATTAGTAGCACTTGCTGTTGCCGCCACCAAGGGGGAAGCCGCCAGCACTGCCTGCTTGGTTTGTGGATAAGCCCTGCTCTGTGAGCCATGAGTTGTACGCGACCTGCAGGGGGCAGAGCAGTAGTGAATGTGTAGGGCACGCACCCTTGTGTTTGTGCGTGTGTGGATATGAGTGTGCACGCGCGCGCGTGTGTGTGTGTGTGTGTGTGTGTGTGTGTGTGTGTGTGTGTGTGTGTGTGTGTATGTGCGCGCGCGCGCCGCCCGTCCTCAGTTGTGACACCTGATGGTCTCCCCGCGCGTTGGCATCAACCCTGGACTCACAACCTCGGAGCCTCGTTGCGCCGCATACTGCAAGTCCTAAAAGATATTTGAGCTCATCACGCTTGTCAAAACCGATGCAACCTCACACGCGGCGCCTGCTCCCCTGAATTCCCACCACGCCAGCCAGACCATGCCCCCTGACGCTGAACACCCCCGCCGGACTGCCGACATGCACATGTGTCCCCAGGGCTGCGCACCTTCTCGTCGTCGACGGAGATGCGGCGCTCCGCCTCGGCAATGGGCGCCTCGTTGATGCACGCGATGCGCTTGCGCATGAGGCCGTCCTGCGGGAGGTTTCGCAGTGCGAATCGCATGTATACATGGATCATCACACCACAGTTTGCACTCACTCAAAATTGGTTTGGTGTGTTCATGCTGCTGTGTCGCTGTTAGCCGAGAGCGGCAGAATACAGGTTCGCCGCAGCCAAGCATCACCGCCGATACAGCGGCAGCGTCCGCATGCATTGTCCTGGGCAGACCCAGCCTGGGCTTGTGTCCACACCCCTTGGCGTGAACTTCGCACCACCTGCCTGACTCACCGGGCCGAACTCCCAGTTCTCATTGCCGTAGGCGCGGTACCACTGGCCGCTGGCCGGACGCGTGCGGACGCAGGGTGCATTGGCAAGGGCTGTCAGAAGGGTGGGGTGGGGGCGGGCGCTGCCGGGCTAGCCTCAGCTATATCCACAGCCCCATCCCCAATCCCCAGTCACGGCGGGAGGGGGGCCGGGCTGCCAGGCCTAAGGCAGGCAGCACATGCCATGAGGGCCATCTGCCGTGAGAGCGGCCAGCCCCAGGCGGCGGCATCAGGGGCGGCGAGCTTGGATTGAAGCACCCATTGAAGTGTTTTCAGGTGGTGTCGCGCACTCCGCGCGAGCGCGCGGGCCGCACCTGGCGTCGTGGTACTCGTACTCAAAGCAGACCGCGATGCGATTGTCCCTAAGGGGGGTTCGTCAAAATTTGGATACAAACAAGGCGGCGCTTGAGCGGACCGGCAGCCTTGGGCCTTTAGGCACGCCCCAGCCATGCTGGGAGGCGCTGACTTCGGACTGAGCCTTGCCAGTCCGCCTTTGCTCCTGCCACCCGCTGTTGACTTGCCACGGCGTCCAAGGGACGGCGCGCAGCCAGTGCTCTGCTCTCCACCATTCCTGCTGTAGCTCGCTTCATGATGCCAAACAGGGCAGGAGCAAGCTTAGCCCCCATTGTACTGGTTACCATACCCCTCCCGAAGCCCCGTCCCAAATGTCAACCCCAAGTCCCAAGGCCAACCTCCCCGTGTGCGCACACCGCCACTTGCCTGAAAGCCCAGAGGTACTTCCTGAGTTTGTAGTCCAGCTCGCGCTCCCACTTGCGGCTCAGGAACTGCATTGCATTGCAGATTGTTCGCAATGATGCGGGGGTCTCACGCCCGTGCAGGCGTGCGTGTGCTCTCAAACTTTGACATCGTGTGAGTCGTGCAAGTCGTGTTGTCCATAAGGGGGGGCAATAGGCAGCACTCTGCGGGCTGGTACAGGCTAAGGGATATCCCCCAATTGCCGCTTGCCCTGTGTGTTCCCATGCGTCACGCCCTCTCCCTTGCTCCCCGTTCACACCTAGACACACGCGTGCAGAGACGCGCACACACACGCGCGCACACACACACACATACGCACCCCGCTCTCACACACACCAACACACAAACTCATACGTACACATATGTACACATATAAACACACATACACACACGCGCGCACACACATCCCCACCTCGCGGATGGCGGCGCGGCCCTTCACAAACTCGGCCCTGTTGCGCCACTCAGAGTCCTCTGAGTAGGCGAGCGCCACGCGCTCGGGGTCCCTGGGAACAAGAGGGGATGTGTGTGGTGAGCGCCCATCATTGGGCGTACTGGGGTCTTAACAGCCAGGGGCTGATGGGGTTGGCGCTGGTGCGCTGGAGAGGGGGGGTGGCGGCAAATTTGCAGCTTGCGAAAAAGGCGAGAGGGCCATTGGAGGCCCGGTATTCAATATTCAAGCGGTTGTTTGCTGCATGCAAGATTGAGGTGCCTGCATGCGTTGTAGGGGGTCTCTTGGGAAACGAAAATATGTTTTGTCACAAGGAAATCCCAGCACTGCATGAAGGGTCATCACCTCGTGTTCCAGCCGTCCTCCGCCATCTGCACCTTCTGTGGGCGAAACATTTATGACGTTTGAATTTTAATTGGACAGATTGGGACCATTTTGGGTGATGGCGGGTGGGCTAGCAAGAGGGTGGCCGCGCAAACGTCGAGAAGACGCGCGTGTGCTCGCAGGGTAGGGCTGTGAGGACAAAACACGAAAGCATGAAAGCACCGTGCGTGATTCACCCCCCCCCCCCTCCTGAGGTTGCGGCACAAGCACCTCGTCTCAGATGATCATGCGGCGTGTCATGCCAGGCGGTGTGGTGCGAGCGGGCCCGCACCTGCCGCGCAGTCTCCTCTGTGAAGGGCGGCAGGGGTGGCCTGGATCCAGCGGGGGCACCACTTGGGGCGCCAGTGGCCCGGCTGGCGATACCGCGCCCTGCCGGGTCAACCAAGCATGGCGTGACAGAGATATGGAGCCACATGTGCGTGCGTGCGGATTAAAAGGTGTGCGCAGCTCTCAAGCATCAGGGCGATGCTGTCGATGATGAGGGATGATGGCGCTGCGATGAGGAATGCAACTGTCCGCCGCTGCGTGATGAGCGCAACCCGGCCTGGATCAAGATCAGAGCAATACGGCCGCCATGCGTACATGTGTTTCGCGAGGTGAACATCTGCCGAAGAACGCGGCCTTGCAGATCGCAGCGCAGCGCTGGAGACATCATTGTGAGTTACTGTGGCTTAAAAATCCACAATGCACGTGTTGATGATACCAGCGCACTGTAAGGTAGCTCGAGTAACTTTGACGTGGCCGTTGTTCATGTGCGCCAGCAGCTGAGCGAGCTGACTCATCAGTGCCATGTGTCCGCGCACCAGCGGCCTGCAACTTCACCGTGTGGTCTTCCCTTGTGTGTGAATTTTTATTTGAGGGTCGCATCATGCTTAAGCTTTGAATTATCTGACCAATATCAGGTAGGCTCAGAGGTGGAAATTGTGCTCATCAACGTGATTTCTGCTTGTATGCCCATGCTGCAGATTTTTAACATAGGAGCATGCTGCACTGTGCTGCAGCTTGCATACACCGCATCAAACTTATGGCGCCGATGACAGCGTGCTCATAGTGCTGCAGGGCGCACACCAAACCGGTATCGCCCAGCAAGTCAAAAGAGGTTATTGCGTGCTGCCCTGTGCTGCAGTCGACTTTTGCACATATATCTACTCGCATACAGCGGTTGGATGAACAGCAGAGAAGCTGAGCTGGAAACATGTGTTTGCACAGGGCAAACGTGGTGATAGGCATGCATCCAGCTGATGAGCAGCGCAGTTGAGCAGTCCCCCTCGCAAGAGCGAGTGAGCAAATGGTCGAACCAACGTCGCAACGTGCACTCTCTTACATGTGTGCTCATCAGCGCTGCGCACCCGTCCAGCTGAGCAGGACACACGCCCAATGTGGAACAGTCCATCTTGACCCACCCTGGCTGGAGTTCATTGACACGGGACACAGTACTACTCAGGCTCAGGGGTTTCTGGGCTTCAAATGGCTGTCGATAGAAGAGCACAGACTGAGACCCTTCCAAGACTTTCCGGCCCGGCCAGGAGGTCCAGCAATTTGACGCCGTCGGGCAACAAAAATAGCTGCGACCGTGGCTGCCCAATATGGCGCACCCAGCGGCCGTTCTCGCAAGCCTCCTAACCCGTGAGCGTCCCAGGCTGCCATAAATGAACCACCCAGGCCACAGGCAGCGCTGCAGGAAGCTGGCCGGTTGCGCCAAAGGCTGATGCCAAATGCTGCACGCCACGCAACCGGCGCGGCGGCCCCCACGCCGCAACCGCTGCAACCCAGCCCACGTGCGTTGCGGCCCCCGGCCGCGGCGCCATGCACGCATTGGCGGCCAGGGGCTCGAAACAAGGATACGGATTGGGGTTCTTACAGCATCCCGCGGTTGCCCGCTTCTGGCGTCATCCAGGCTCACAGGACGAGACATGTCGCACAGGGTGACGGTGCCGCAACAGCAATGCCACTTGCTCAACCGGCAGCAATGCAAGCAAGCACAACCTTGTGTCAGCCATTTATCCTTAGGTTGTTATGTAAGGCATGGGCGCCGGCGCGCCGTCGAGCGGCGCGGCGGCTTGGTCGCGCCCCGAGGCAGTGCTTCTGCTTCGCTAGTCATGTGCGTGATAAGCGCAACCATGTCCGACGCGCTCACCTGGGCTGAACCCTGTGTGCTCGGGTACACCCCTTCGAATGGAGCAGACACACGCGGGATCACCTCCCAACACACAGCAGCATCGTCTCGCTGCCACTCACCAACAGGCGCGCCGTCCCGCATCCTCCTCGCGCGCTGTATGCTGTATGCTGTGTGCTGGGAGCCTGTGTGGGTCCGGGGGAGAGGGGCGAGCGTTTTGGTTCGCTCAGCGCGGAAGCTCTGCATCTCGCGCGGCCTCACTGCGCTCAGCAGCCTCCTGATACTGACTGCCCCTTGACATCCCCCGTTCCAAGTGCGTCCTATCGGCGCTCCGGCAGCTCACTGGGTTCGCCGGCATGCTGCATGCTGCTACTGCTTCGCTCGAGTGACTCATCACTGGCATGACATAGCTGCAGTCACCTTACTGAACAACCGTACAGCTGCAGCGGTATATTCTGAGATTTTGTTTCCTGAACCTTCACCGGTGGGTGCGCATGCTGCTCACTGATCATGGTTGATCACAGCGCGAAAAGCCGATCAGGTGGCTCGGACTGTTAGGCTCGAGGTGAGGAGTGTGCATTGGGTTACTTTTGTCATTGCCAAGTCACTCCGTGAGCGCTGTGACGCATCGTGCATGTGGCCCTCGTGCAGTGTACAGTATGTGTGTGTGACGTTGTCAGAGTGATCTGACACGGATCGCAGCGTGTTGTAATCACTCTGCACAGCAGTTCAACATTCCTGTGTCCTCCCCCTTCCCTCTCAGCGCTGAAAGCACAGGTGTGGCGAACGGGAGATGCAGCAGGGCGCAGCATCCCCATGGGGGCCGGACCTGGATCTGTTGCTGAAGGTCCTCCAGCGGGCGCGCCATCATGCCGCCGATCGCTACCAGCGAGGTGTGAGGAATGCGCTGGAGCAGGTACTCCGCGCGAGTATTTCGGGCAACGCCAAGCTGTCGTGGGTGCTGGAGGCAGAGGAGCAGAGGCTCATCACTGAACAAGAAGCTGCAATTGTACTCGATGCTGTTTGGTGTGTGCCACCCTCCGCAGCAGAACAGCCAGTTGCCGCAGGAGGCACACAGGCACCGGTGCTGGTGAATGCTGAGCAGCAGCAGCAGCAGCAGCAGCAGCAGCAGCAGCAGCAGCAGCAGCAGCAGCAGCAGCAGCAGCAGCAACATGATCATTATCAGCAGCAGCAGCAGCAGCAGCAGCAGCAGCAGCAGCAGCAGCAGCAGCAGCAGCAGCAGCAGCATAACGCGGCTGCGGACGGGGAGCTGCAGCATGACGTGATTGTCATTGATTGCAGCGATCACGAGGGGCAGCAAGAGGACGCTTCCAATACGTTGCAGTCAAAGCAGGAGCAGCAGCAACAGCGTGACGGCCTGGTGCAGGAGCAGCCACCGCAGGGGCTGCAGCAGCAGGAGGAAGGCCAAGCAGACGGGGCGGAAGCATCCGGGGGGCAGCCAGAATGCAGGCAGCAAACTCAGGCGCGGCGCCCTCACATAGGTACCATGGCGAATCAGTATCTGCCAGACGATGCAAGGAGCGCGGCCGTGCAGGCGAGGCCGGCGGGGCAGCAGCAGGAACAGGAGGAGGAGCAGGGCGAGGGGGCAGGGGAGCACAAGCTGCTCCCCTGCCAGGAGGAAGAAGGGGGCGTCCAGCTCGCCCTGAACGGGAACAGCCAGCGGCAGCGTCAACGCGCCGGCACCCATGACGCAACCGCCGCGGCCCGCACGGACGCGGCAGGCGGTAGTAACAGCGCCGCCGATGGGCCAGGCGCGCGATGCTGGCAGGCGGCGCCTTGGCGTGCAGAGGCTTTGCTCGTCGACGCGCTGCTGCAGCGATGCGAGGCCCAGCGATCGGAGACGCTTGCGGGCGTGGTCCCGGCCACGCTGCAGCACCTGTGAGTAGTGCGGCCTGTCGTGCGGGCCGTGCGCATCGCGTGCACAGACTTGGTGCAATGGCACCGCCCGCATTGGGGTGAAGCAGCTGGTTGCCGCGCCCAGCTGTGGATTTGCATGTGTGTATGATCTTCCTTCACCCCCCTTTCCACGACCGGCTGTTGGGTACAAACCCTGCCTGCATTGACCCGGCCTTGAATTTGCCCTCTCATTCCCCAGGGACGAGGCCGGTGTTGCTCCGGGGCTGCGGCGGCTGTCACACCAGCTGGCGGGTGTGGCCTGGATGATGATGTGCGAGGGGGTGCGGGGCCAGGAGCGCTTGAGTTGGCGAGGAGATGAAGAGACGTTCCAGGTGCTTCCCTATTGAAGTATGTGGGTTCTAATGTGTGATGCGTCAGCAAATGTGCTCGTGGCGAAAACATTACCTGTGATGTGTTGTGTGAGTGCGGGTGTGGGGGTGCGTGCGCATGCGGCGCGTGCGAGTGCATGTGTGCACGTACGCTTGCGCATGTAAGGGGATGCGCATGCATACATGCAAAAAAGTGCATACAGGTATCTGCAGCCTTTGCACCGCTGCTGTGCTCACCTGCCTACGTTCTCATCACGCCGCTGCTGCAGCTCCCCAGCGGGGGCATCCTGGCGGACGAGATGGGCATGGGCAAGACATACCAGGGTGCGCAGGAGTTGGGGGAGGACCGCCGGGGGCACCTCAGCAGCAGCATCGCTTGCATGGCAGCGCCTGCCACATGACGGCTGCTTGGCTGCCGCGCGAGCTGCCGCAGTAGCTGCAGGCGGGCAAGCAGTATCCTGCGCGCCGGCTGCATCGCATTGTTGATCAAGCCTTTCCATCCTGCCGTCCCTCGCGCCACCGCGCCCCCTTGCTCGCGCCCCCCTCTCCCCTTCAGCGATCCTGCTGATGATGCTCAGCCCCAAGCCCCCTCTGCCGGCGGACGCAAGCGCCGCCGCCGCGCCGACCACCGCTGTGCTTGGCGCCGTGGCGCCCGACATGGGCGGCGCAAGGGCGCTTGCAGTTGGGGACGGCCCCATCGGAGGCAGGCTGGGCGTGAAGACTACCCTTGTGGTGGCCCCGGATCACCTGACAGCGCAGTGGGAGGCAGAGATCCGCGTGGTGGACGCCGGGGGCCGCCTGAAGGTGCGACTGCGATTGGGTTTGGGGTGTTTTACGCATGGTTGTATCTATCTGGGAGGCCTGGGCAGGACAGCAGGAGCCCCGTGGTACCTGTCTAGTTGCAGCACACCATGTCCTGCCCAGCTGCCAGCTCGGTGGTTTTCCCAGGCCATGAGGAGAGCAGCGGGTGCCGGGCCTGCTGGTAATTGCAAGCGCAGCTTGCAAGGCTTGACATCGCGCATTGCCATGCCGCCCGCCCTTTTGGCGTGTCCAGGTGTTGGTCTGGGGCGACATGGCACCCATCGGCCCCGCAGACCCAGGAGGCCCCGGCGACACCAACAGCGGCGGGGCCGCCGATGACACTGACGGGGCCGCCGGCGACGACGGAAGGGGTGGCGCGGGCTACATCACTGGGCGCAAGCGCAGCCGTTCGCGCGGGCTGGACGCCGTGTGCCTCAGCGCAGGGGAGCAGCGGGACTTTGATATCCGCACCGAGATGGCGCCGAGGATCCTGTCTGGAGAGTGTGATGTCATCATCGTCCCGCTGAGCGTGGTGCAGGTGGGAGGGATACTCGCCCTGTGACTGGCCTCCTGTCCTGACTGGGAAATGCAGCGGCAAATGCGGCGCAGTGCCATGCATATTGCACACACGGTGTGAGAACTGCAGAGCTCTACCTGCACACAAACGTTGTCATCAGGTCTAAGTGATTTGGTAGTGCGTGGCTTTACACACGGAGCACCGTCTGCTCACAAACTTCATACCGTCAAAGTTGGGCGCACGTGCTCAAAATCATACCCAGTATACCTGTAATGCACGTGTAATCCACCACCCAGATCCAGGTCAAAGCCGCATGAGGCATCAGCCAAATTGTCACTCTACATCCCTTGATGCACAACCCGCAGCCGCATCCAACGTCCATCGACCGACAACCAACCCCGCAATCGCAGCGCGAGCTTGGCACGTACGGGCGCCTGTCGCGGCTGTCGAGCGACCGCCAGAGGCGGCGGCAGGAGGGCGGCGCCTGCGGCGAAGCCGAGGGCGTGGGCGTGGACGTCTTGAGCAACGCCTCGACCCCGCCGGCCACGGCCAAGCCGGACTACTACCGGCAGTCCCCCCTCGCACAGGTGTGGGCGCCGCGTCGCGCATGCCCCTCGTCTGCACATAGCCTGGCAGGCGCCTGGCGCGACACTTGAGCCCGGGCGCGCGCTTTGGTGCGTTCAGGTCACGGCGGCTTCACACTCCACCGCGGCCCCACTCTGTGCGCAATCCCAGTCCAGCCTCGTTGGTCTGAACCTGAAAAAGCAACCATGAAATCGGGCAGGTGGAGTTCTGGCGGCTGATCGTGGACGAGGCACAGGGCCTGGGCAGCAGCACACCAAACAAAGCGTTCAGAGACATCGACCGCATCGCGGCGCGGAGCAGATGGCTGCTGTCCGGTGCGACATGCACGCGCGCGCGTGTGCGCGCCGCGCCCTGCGGATTCGCAGCCAGCGAGCCGTGAACAGAATCGACGGAATTTCATCGCGCGACGCAGCATGCACGCGCCCAGGCTGCACAAGCGCCAAACGCGATTTGCCGACGCGGCGTATGGCTCGCTGGTTGCATGTTTCCGCAGGGACCCCATTCAGGCGGCTGGGGTCGGTGTGCTCCCTGCTGTCTTTCCTGTTTGGAGGGCCTGGAAGCTGCCCGCGCCTGGTCGAGAGGGCGGCGTCCATTCTGGAGCGGGGCGCCGGCGGCGCGCCGCCAGGCCCGACGGCGGGGGCCGGCGGGGCAGGGCCCAGCGGCGGCGGGGCCTGCGGCGCCGGCGGCGACGCCAGACCTGCGGATCCCGGCACAGCTGCGCAGCAGACTGGAGCAGAGGATCAGGAAGAGGCGGCGGGGGTGCTGCTGGGCGCTCTGCGGCACTCGCTGCTGCGGCGCACGCTGGAGTGCCTGCCTCTGCAGGACCAGCCGCCAGGTGTGGGGGAGCTTCATGTTTTCAAGGGGAGCACAGAAGCCGGCAAACCCTTCCAACGTTGTGTCGCTAACCCTTTCTGTGCACCCCTTGATTCGTGGGCACCCACACCCCCTTCCCTTTTTCATGAAGCGTGTGAGCCTGATCCTTCTGCCAATTGTTCCTCTGCGCTGACGTGTGTTGCAACCCGCAGCTCAGCGGTTTGTGACGCAGCGCTGCAAGCTGCAATGCAGTGACGCCGTCATGTACGATATCATGGCCAACGCAGCAGTGGAAGTGAGACGCTCGAGGCTTCAGCACTCCATGGGAAGCTTTCTGTGGTCTGATCTGGCATGCGCGGCCCCCGCCACTTGCGCAAAAGCAGCTGCTGTTTGCGGGCACGTTGAGGAGGGGCGCGGCGAGCGCCAGTGCCTGCGCGGAAGCGGGTGCGGGCGCTCAATGAGCGTGCAGCAGGCTGACGGTCTCGCACCTCTCTGCTTCCTTCCTGACTCCACAGTACGTGGACAGCCCGGCCGCCACCGACGCCGGCGTGAGGGAGTTCTACACACGCCTATTGGGATGCGGGATTGCCTCTCAGGTCAGTTTTGGTGGTCTCCCAGGGGTTGATGTTGAGCATGGCACGGTCTCGACACGACCTTCTTTGCAAAGCGGCTTGAAGGTAGTTCCAGTGTGGTTGCCAGTTTTTCCTGGCTCGGCCAACTTTCGATGACGCACCTGCTGTGCTCCGGTCTGGTCAACCGTGGTCAAACGACACTGCCGTGGTCAAACGACAAAAACAGGTCGACACCTGCACGAACGCAGCCCTGCTGCACGACAAGGGCTACTTCCCAGATCTGGTGCTGCCCGCCAGGGTCGGCCACTGCCAGTGTGCGCCACAGGACATGATCGCGGCCATCGTGCACGGCGGCTGCCTTCTGTACCTCGGGCAGAAGGGCGCAGCGGCCGCGCGGCAGGCAGCGGCCGCCGCAACCGCGCTTCTGGGCAGCTGCCCGGCAGGGCGGCACTCCGCCCACACACGTGAGTGCTGCGGACCGGCTCTCCTCGGATTGCAGTGGAGCGGGCCCGGCTCGCTCGCGCACGTGTTCTTTTGTGCCTGCCAGTCGGTGGATGCGCACAGCCGCTCGAATCACTCCCTGATGCCCGCGACTTCCATGCAGTCGGCGCCGTCACGGATCTGCTCTTGAAGGTCCGCAGCTACCTCCAGGATTGCAGGCTGAGGCCAATGGAGGAGGAGGACCGACAGGAGCAAACGCGCTGCAGCACGAGCAGCGGCAACAGCTGCACCAGCGGCGGCGCTGGGGCCGGCGACAGCGGGCAAGAGCACAGCCGCGACGAGCGGCGCGGCGCCGCCGCCGGCGGCGCCTGCGAAGAGGACGAAGGCGAGGGAGCGGATTGCGATGGCATGGAGGAGGACGGCCTCGAGCAGAACGGGGATGCGGGCGGCCGAAGGAAGCGCCGGGTCCGCAGCTCCAGTTGCCGCCACTACCGGCTGTGGGCGCGCCGCGCGGACCGCACCACCTACATAACAGGCTACGCCCTGGGCGGCCTGCCGTGGGGTCGCCGGCGCTGGGACGCGGCGCGGGTGGAGCAGCTGCAGGTGCAGGCTCAGATCCACTGGGCCGAGCTGCGGCTGGCTGAGGCTCTCGAGGCCGCAAGCAGCGGCACATCCGAGGCCGACGGCGGGCGCGGCGCCGTCGGCGGCGCCACGGGCGGGGGCGAGGCAGGCGGCGGCGGCGGCAGCAGGAGCGGCAGCGCCGGCGGGAGCGGCGGGCGTGCGGGCGACGCGGCTGGTTTGGCAGCGCTGCAGCAGACGTATCTTGCGGCGATGCGAGAGTGCGGGGCGGACGACAAGGCGGCGGCGGTGCTGCGCGATCTGCGCGAAGCAGTGCACCGCCTGCATGAGGCACAGGCCACCGCGCGCAGCGCGTCATCGCAAGTGAGGGCCTTTTGCACGAAGGCACCCGGCCTGGCGCAGCAGCAGGACCCCCGCTACGCAGCGGCGCTGGCCGTGGCGATCGCCGGCTGCGAGCAGGTGTTGCTCGGGAGGGACGCGGCTCTCACAGCGTGTAAGTCCTTGTGGCTGCTGCTGCCGAACTGCAGCATGCAAGAAGACGGCGGCGCCGCGGGCTTGGCGGCCCCTGGAAGCGCGGGCGGCGCCCCTGGCAGCGGCGGCGGCGGCGGCAGCAGCAGCGGCAGCAGCAGTGGCGGCGGCAGCGGCAGCGGCAGCGGCGGTGGCAGGTGCGCCGCGGACGGCGGCGGCGGTGTGGAGCGGCTGCTGCTTTTTCCAGTGCCCACGGCGGACCTGGAAGCTGCATGCCGCGCGGCGGAGTCGGCGCTGGCTGGCTACGACAAGACCTGGGACCTTGCTCATCAAGCAGCGGGACAAAAGGGAATTGATGTTGGACAGGGAAGCCTTGCAGATTGGACAGGTGGTGCAGCAGCTGAAATCTGCGTGTATCGGCCGCCCATGCGTCGCGCGGGGCAGCGGTCCGGCCGGGCAGCAAGGCGGCCACCTGCCGGAGCAGCTCTCCATCCTGCAGCATCAACTGGGCACGCTGCAGGGCGAGAAAGCTGCGGCGGGTCGCGTCGTCGAGGCTGCACAGGGCGTGATCAAGTTCCTCCAGCATGTGCGGCCGCAACCGCCGGCGATGGACGTTCAGGCGGCCGTTGAGGGCGCGGTGAGCCCGCAAGGCACGGCAGGGCTTGCTGGTGACCAGCCGCCGAGCGCCCGTTGCTCTTTGCCAGCGCGCCCTGCACCCCTTGTACAAGCCCCTGCGGCGCTGTGGGTGATGCAGCATGCGAGCGAATGGCATTGATACGCTCCACTTTGCTGCGTGCGCCCCTCCGTCCACCGCTCCACCCCCTGCAGCGGCGCCGCGGGGAGCGTCTCAGCATGCTGCGGTGGCGGCTGCGCAGGGAGATTATGCCGGCTTTGGAGGCTGCGCGGCAGCAGGGCGAGGAGCTGGGCGGGTGGGTCGGGCATTGTCGAGGCTGCACCCCTGCTCAGTGCTGAGGTTGCCTGAAACCGCCACTTCGTTTGGGCAAATGCCAGCTGCTGTGCGCGGTTGCGGATCCGTCGAGCCGCCTGGTTGATCGCGCAACCTACCTCATCTTGATCACGCAGGGCGCCGGAGGGCAGCAAGGAGCAGCACCTGAGCAACTGCGGCACCATGATGGCCGAGCTGAACTCCATGGTGCAGCAGCTGGTGGCCGCGAACGAGGCGCTGCCGCCCGACAAGCCTATTGAGAAGGTGTGCGGCTGGCTTGGCTTTTGCCTGGTGGGCTCGCAATCATGATCGGACGCGGGAGTCCGGAGGGTGCTGTGGTGATGACGCAGGGGCGCTGCTGTGCCGGAGTCCGTGCTGGGTAAGCCGCAGGGAGTGCACGTGTGTGCCACCGGGTCGCGCCAGGATATCATCAAATCAAGTGCATGCAACCCCACAACTCCACTCGCGCACTCAGTGGGTCATCGTCACGAGGACCAAGCCCATGTACTACCTGGTGTCGAGCGTGGTCCTCGACGTGCTCGGCCCCAGCGGGGTTGCGCACCTGTGCCGCGACGACTACAGCTCCAGCGACGGCCGGGCGGTCAAGAGGAGCGCGGGCCTCGGCGCGGCGGCCCGCGCCGCGCAGCTGCCGCGGAGGCTGGCGGCGTTCACGGACCCGGGGGACCGGCGGACGCCCGTGCTGCTGCTCGACTCGAACGCGCGGGTGCGGCAGCGGGCGCATGGGGCCCCGCGAGGGCACCACAAATGGTCAGGGGGCCCCGCGGCAGCACGGCGGCTCGGCGTCTTGGCGGCACGGCGGCGCAGCCTAGGGTGGCGCGTCCGCCTCTGATTCCTGCCTGTCCGATTCCCCAACGGTCGCCGAGCCCTGTGGCAGCAGCACCAGTAGGACTAATGCTGAGAGCAGCGGCATACATTTGCTGCCTCTATGAGTACCCATAGGCCCCCTGAGCCCCGTGTCCCCTGTTTTCAATGCGGCCGCCCTGCCTTGTTTATGGCCTGCCTTTCTGCCAATCTTTCCCGCGTGCCCTGCACCCAATCCTGCGTCCCGCAGAACGAGCAGGAGGCGTCCGGGCTCAGCCTCATACGCTGCTCCAAGATCATCCTGGTCGAGCCCATTACCTCGCGCTCCGCACTGCGCCAGGTCAGCGCCCAATCGCCAGCAAAGCGCGTCAGCCCTGCGCGCCTCGGGCGCGGCCGCTTGCGCGCCGGCTCAAGCTGGGCGTTCATTTCCATCCCCACCCCTCCGCTCGATGCTTCCGCTGCGCGTGCTGCGCGTGCTGCACCGCAGGTCCTGGCCCGCACGTACCGTCTCGGCCAAGACAAGGAGACTGAGGTGGTGTCGCTCGTGCCGCGCGGCACGCTGCACGAGCTCAAGCACCAGCGGTGCGCGCCCCCGCCCGCCCGCCGCAGGGACGCGCGGGCTGGCATGGCGGCGGGCGGCACGCAGCACGGGTCAGCAGCCGCAGCGGGAGCGTGGCTTGCTCAGATGCAGCGCTAAGTGGGGCGCCGCGACGCTCTCTGAAGTCTTGAAAAGTCGCGCGCCTTCTTTCATGACGACGTGAAGACAGCCGGCCATCTGAAGCGCCGTGCGCGTCCAAACTCGCAGGTTGGTCGAGCCGCTGCTCAAGTCAATCGTGGCGCAGCGCGCCGCGGGCGGCGGGGAAGCAGGGGGCAGGCCGGCGGCCGGGGCCCGCGCGGGCGCGCGCAGGGAGCAGCTGAGGCAGCAGGTGCAGGGGGAGGCGGAGCCCTCGGTGGACCAGATGAAGGAAGAGCTGCGGGAGGCGTTGCAGCACTGGCGGCGGGAGCGGGGCACGTGAGCGCCACGCCGCCAAGCTCGAGGGGTCTCATGGCCCCGCCTGTGACGCGCCGGCGCGAGCGGCCACCGTAATGGGGTGTGGCACGCACTGTTTGGGTGGTGTTGAAGTGGTGCTGGCACCTGACCTTTCGGCCGATAGACATCGCCCGTTGGCGCGTGTTGTTGTCCGCATGACGGGCGCCGCTTTGCAAGGGGCAAAGCACGGCACAAACGATCCTGTGATGCAGCAAATCAACGAACCGCTGGGCTCCGACCACTCACTCACGCACAAACACATCCCTTGTGGCATTTCCAGCCATTCATTGTCATTGAGGGCGACCACAAGGCACCTGTGCCCAACCTCACAGCCTGATTCGCAACCTATTGCCCGTACAATTCACCTGGGCCCTTGCGCTGCGCCTAGTGCTCGCGCGCATGGCCAGGACCGTTGCGCTGCCAGTGACGCGCATGCGGCCGGTAGTTGAGGAGGTTGCTCGCACGCCGGCTCAAGACCGGCGTTTTGTGCTACTAGGCCCCACTCAGCCTTCCCTGCCATCAGTCCTGCGTCACCTTGCCGGAGGTTTTGGGCCGCACGCACCACCCAGGCCTGAAGATTTATGCGGCGGCCGTGCCAACGGCGCACGCAGTAGCTGCCAGGATTAAAATCCCGCCACTCGGATAGCTACACCATTCAAGTAAAATATCCAGTGCCGCCTCTGCAGGCGCATGCGTCAGCAGGCTCGTGGTGGCACATATAATGATGGGGGTGCCCAGCTGGAAATGGGGGTGCCCAGCTGGAAATGGGGGCGAGACACGTGCTATGCACACCCAGGTTGTTGTCGCGGCCTGCTTGTTCCCTTCGCAAGCTCCTGCGTGCCTAGCCACTTGAGTTATGATGATTGTCATGTCTGTATCCAAAGTCAATGAAGGTGAGACCGGTCCAACCGCCCCAACCCAGCCGACAACCGCCTCGCTTGGCGGTTGTCCCCCTGTCTTTGCAGGCATGCTGCTGCCGCCATGACTGTGCTCGCCCTATATACAATGCTTCAGGAAGGATACCACGCGGGCACCTTGTTGAATGGAGATGCCAACATTCCAGCACATGCTTCGCACCCACCTCCACTAGTAGTGCAAGTGGGTCGAGCGCTTTGTCAGCATGCGTCGCGAGTGCCGGTGGGCCCAAGGCCGTCACACAGTGTGCACTGCGTGAAGCGAGGTGTGTTGTTGGTTTGTACATTATACACCGTGTCGCAATCGCGTCGGTCCCTCCACAACAGTCGACGTTCTCAACCGCGATACCAGCTTCGGCGTGCGATCCACCAACCTTGGAGGCCGTGTCGCGCCCGTGATTGCACATGTAAATAACATAGTCCTATCAAAGCTTGGTCTGCCATCCGGGCGCTCAAAGCGTGATTCGCGCGCTCCAAGTCAAAAAGGGCCTGACGCGCAGCTCAGAGACCCTGTCCCCGCTTTAGAAGCCTTGGATAGGTCCGTGAATGGGATCCAGCCTCAGCATAGTGCTGGCGGGCGCTGCCCCAGGCGGCGCCCAACTGCGAGCGCACAGCGGCGCGCGCCGCGCCTCGGTGCCCAACGCGCTGTGCCGGCCGCGCCGCCCCATGCCCAAGGCGGTTGACTACAGAAAGTTGCGCAAGCTGATCAAATGCCACAAGCTGGCTCCGTGTCACAACGGCCTCGATATGGACTGCGGCTCGCGCGATCTCGAGGTGCGCCGTTTCCCCCACCCCGGCCCGATCAAGGCGGTTGGCCTCGCGAATCCCTCCGACTGGGGGCTCTGCCGTTGCAGCATTGGCCATGCACAGCGCCGCTCTTCAGGGGCCGGGGCAATCCGTGGGCCTAGCCCATGGCAAGGGCGGCTTCGTGTGGTCGCGCTGAGGTTCTGCCGCATGCGGGCGTAGCCGGTCCCAGACCAGCTGCAGTAGGCCGCCCCCAGTGGGACGTGCCCCAGATTCATCCACCCCTTCCTGCGCTCGCCGTCGCCCCTAACGCGCCAACCTCACCCCTTTCCCTCCAGGTTGATGAGTGCCCCATCTGCTTTCTGGCCTACCCATCATTGAACCAGACCGTCTGCTGCAACAAGCTGGTCTGCACAGAGTGCTTCGTCAGGGTGCGCCCCAGGCGCCGCCGACACACGCCCCCTGGCCTTTCAAAGGCCGGCGGATGGGCGGCATGCATTAGTGGTATTGTGTTGGGCAATCTTTCAGCCAAATATGTTGCCATGGCTGACATGTGACGTCTGTTTGTGTACGACTCAGCTTGTGCGTCGGCCCACTCATTCCCTACCTCCACCATACCCGACCTGCGCACCCGACCTGCGCAGGTGCAATGCAGCTCCAAGCCGCCCGGCAAGGCCTGCTGCCCCTACTGCAAGGCAAACCCCTTGAGCGTGAAGGTGCGGCGGCCACCAAATACGTTCCCTCTCCCCGCCTTTCCAGGCCATGCGGTCGGCCTCATGCGGCGGGCATCGGCCCCCCACCTCTCCAGCGCCCAAACCGCCCTGAACGCCGCTGCTGGGTAACTTCAAAGGCTTTGGGTTGATGGCCGTACCAGCATCCTTGGATTGTTATCAATCGGTTGGACCAATCTCACATCCCGCAGTACATGGGTGCGAGGAGCCAGGAGGAGCGAGAGAGGGAGCGGCGCGAGGAGCAGGATGCCAACGAGGCGCTGATGCGCTGGCAGAAGCAGCAGGCTCAGCAGCAGACGCAGGAGCAGCGGCGGCCGCGTGCCGAGCAGCAGCAGCGGCAGCTGCAGCGACAGACCGAGCAGCAGCAGGGGCAGCAGGGGCAGCAGCGATGGCGGCAGCGGCAGCAGCCGCAGGAGGCTGAGGAGGGGGTGGTGGTGGAGGTCGTGGCAGTCGCGCCGGCGCACGCCGCCCCGCAGCCACCTGGCGCCCATGCGGCGGCGGCTTTCGAGATCGCCGCGCACGCCGCCGGCCCCAGCTCCGCGGTGGCCGCGCCTGCGGCAGGCATGGAGGGTGCCGGCAGTGGAGTCTGCGACCCGGGCACCTTCTTGCGCGATGCGGGCTGCACGAGCCATGACCTCTGGACTACGGTGGGCGGGCTGCGCAGCCAAGCTGAAGGGAACAGCGGGGGACCACGGCCGCGCGCGGCGCCCTTCTCCCCGCCGCTGGTCCCCGAAACGATGCGGCGGCGCCTGCGGCGTCCGGCGCAGCGGACGAGCGAGCTCAGCGCTGGCGGGCCGCTCGCACTCTCGCTTGTTGGGTCAAGCTCAACTCTCAAGCCTGGGCAGCCCCCAGCCCCTGCCTAGCCTGGGTCCCCCACACCCCCGCCCCCTGAACTCCTCAACCCTCGACCCCTGCAGCGCGACCAAGCGGCGCACCTCGCGGCGCGCTTCATCCCTGAGCCGCTGCTGGATCTTGAGGTGGCCAGCCTGGATGATCTGGATGACATCATGGTGGGTGCCTCCTGGACTGCCGATCTGGCATGCTTTCGCGCCGGCGTGGCGGCGCTCAAGCTCCGCCCCGCGTGCCCGTCAGTGGGCTAGCAGGCCTGGCACGCGCAAGTTTCAGCAGAGGTGTCGTGTCGCTCGTTTGACCAGCAGGGATTCAACCGTCAGCCTCGGCCAAGGCGCGGCGCGACCGCACGTGTATGTGTGCGCGCTGCGGGGAGGCGGCGCTTCTTTGAATGCCCAGCGAGGCCCCACCATGACGCCTGCCGCCCTGCTGTGACCGCCAGCGAAATTGCCACGGTTGCAACGCATTGCGCCCCCGTTGAGTCAGGACTTCGGCCGTCATGACGCACAATCCAACCTATTAACCTCCCACACCCACACCCCCGCGTTCACCCTCGCAGCTCCAGCAGGCTATCTGCGCGTCCCTCGGCCGCAGCTGGCTGCGGCCGCACGGCGGCGGCGCACCTGGGCAGGGGGAGCCGGCGGGCGGCGCGGCCGCGCTGCCGGACGGCCCCGCGGCGGGCCCCGCGGCGGCGCTGGCGCGGGCCGTGCAGGTGAGGGCGCGGGGCACGGCGTGTATTGGTGAGGGTGCTGCGCGACGGCCTAGTACATGCTACAGCCGGCTTTTTGTGATGAGATGGTGTATTGCGCATTGGCAGGGGGCTAAGCTGTCCCGGCCGATCTGGGCCTGCCCAGGGGCGGCTGCCGGCCTGCAGCTATTGGGTGTTGCTGCCCCATAGTCGAATTTCATGGGCTGCGCCACGGCTGCGCTGCAGGTCCCGGCCTGAGGCTGTCTTGCGCGCACGCGCTCCCACACGGGCGGTCTACCGCCGGCTCGCATGGCAAAAGGGCTGCGGGGCGCAGGGGCGGCGGCGGCAATAAGCAGCGGCGTGGAATTTATTGACTTGGCGCCCCTGCCCGCGGCGCAGGCGCCGCGCGGGCTCGGGGCTGCAAATGATGGCGACGGCGACGCCGCGGCTGCGGCGGAGGCGGTGGCAGCAGCGGAGGCGGCGGCAGCCGCGGCGGTGCAGCTTGCTTGCGTGCAGGCGCAGGAGCAGGCGTCAACCAGTGCAGGAGGTTTTTCAGCAGCAGCAGCAGCGCAACCCGAACCATGGGGCGAGTGCGGCGACGCCGGCGCCGACGCGTGCGGCGGCACGCGCGTGCCGCTCCTGCGCCTGCTAGCCGTGGCGATGGCGCACGGCCGGCCGGCGCCTGGGGCGGGCGGCGGCGTGTGCTGCATGATGGTTTTGCCCGACGGCTCCGCGGCGGCCCAGCAGCGGGCGAGCGACGATGCAGCAGCGCGCCTAGAGGGCCTGGCGCTGATCAATGGTAATGCGCCAGCCGGCGGCGGCGGCGGCGGCGGCGGAAATGGGGATGCCGGGACTGAGAGTGAGCTGCGGCAGCAGCTGAGGGACGAGGCCGGGTCTTTCGGCCGCCTAGATTCGGTAGAGGGCTGGCTGCTGCAGCCGGCCGCAGACGGGCGCGCCCCCGCGGGCGCCCCGCCCGCGGCCGCGGTGCAGCCGCCGCAGCGCAAGCTGGCCGTGCTGGTGAACCCGGACGGGTCGCTCGCGGTGCTGGAGGGCCCGCCGCCGACGGCGGGGGAGGCAGCGGCCGCAGCGGTCGCGGCGGCGTCTGAGGCGAGCGATGAGGGCGACCTGCGGCTGCAGCGCGCGCTGGCCGCGGCCGATGCGGAGTTTGCCGCCCGGGTCGCGGCCGCCGCCGGCGCCGGCGCCGGTGACGCCATCGGTGCCGGCCTGCCGGCCGACGGGCCCACCACGAGCGCTGGCGGACGGGGCGGCGGCGAGGGCGAGGGCGCGGGCGGCGGCGGCGGCGGCGGCGGCGGCGCGCCCGAGCCGGATCTTGATTTTGCGGAGCGGCTGAGGCGCGCGGACGAGCGTTTCCGCGCAGGTGCTTGGGGGCAGGATGACCCGCGGTGACAGGCCCCGATGAGGGCGCACGATAGAGCGCGCGCCGTCCCACCAGTAGCAACAATGCGACTGCCGTCGGCGCGCTTCGGCAGGACCTTTCATTCGACGCCGCAGCAGGCGGGCACCCAGTGCGCGCCGCCCGCGCGCTCAGAGACACGGCCCGCGCGCGTCGTCCGGGGCTGCGCACGGCGCGCCCGCGGGACGCTCACCCGTGCGTGGCCTTTGATTGCATCCCATTCCCAACTGTACTGCCGCTCGCTGCGTGTGTCTAGGTTAGCACGAGCTTCAACCTCGCTGCCGGTGCCAACGAGTCCCACGTCATTGGCGCCAGCCGAGGTTGAAAAAAGGTCCCGAGGTTTGATGATCGGCAGGTTGCACCCCCCACGCCCTCTGTATCTGACGGCAGCAATCTGTGGCATAGCCTGCGGCATCCGATGTGCCGCATTCAGGAATTTGGCAGCCTCTTTTATCAGCTTTTATGATATCTCCACCTCAGCAGGCCGAAACCCCTCGCAGCGACCTGCCCTGCTGAACTGGCAGGTGTGTAAAGCCCCAAGTGTTGCTTCGACTTCCTTCTGATCCTGGAACCGGCCGTGCCTGGCCGTGCAGTGCGCAGTCCTGGCGTTTGAACCCCCCCTCACAGCGCCGGTCTGGCATGCGGCGCGTTTCTTTGCTCCGGGAGACCAAAGCGTAAACCAAAGCAGGGCGCCCGTCACCAGCGCTTTACTTTGCATGATGCGCGCCGCGTTACGAGGCGGCAGCTGCAGCGGGAGCGCGTGGGTTTGCGAAGCGAGCCTGGTGCTGCCGCTCTGCAATACACGCCAGGGAAAGTCCGGAAGGGGGCGAAGTAACATAGGCCCAGGCAAGGCGCACGGTGCGGCTGCCGAGGGCAGGAGCACGCAGCAGGGTGATTCGGGAAGGGCTGGCGTGTGCCGCCGGCAGTCTCCCCCCATGCCAGGGTTTGTGTGCGCGTGTGCGCGCGTGTGCGTGTGTGCATGGGTGGCTGGACACGGCGGTGCGGGCGAGCCGTGGCCTCGGGGTGCCTGCGCGCGTGCGCGGGGCTCGCCCGCGGTGGGGGGCTATGCAAACAGTGGTTATGGTGACGTCCTGCGCGAGGGCCATGCCGGCCAGACCCGCGGCCGCCAGGGTTGGCGTGACACCGTTCGGGAGTTGGAGCGGGGGGTCTGTAGCGATTAGCGGTGCGACAGAGGAGGGCGGCGTAAGGGGCAGGCGTTGTGACAGAGCGGCGCGAATGGGGGGGAGCGGACAAGGGGGCGGCCGGCGGCACCAGGAGGCGATCCCCGTACGGGTTTGTGTGGGTCGTGCCCAAGCGCCTCAGCGTTGAGGGCAGGGGCAGTGCTGGGCGCAAAGGGAGCTCCGGAGGCGCGGGGGAGGCGGCGGCAGTTGAAGTGACAACGGTAGGGCTACGGTTCAGAGTGCTTTGTCATTGCATGGGCACGCACACCCGCGCCCGCAAAGAGCAGTAGCAGTGCCGAGCAGCGCGCCGCGTGCAAGCCAGTGGCGCCGCGCCTCACGCCCTGCAATTCATGGGCCTGCGCGCGCCCTGCGGCGCACTGGCGCGTTCCGGGCGGCGCCTGAGCAGGTGGCGTGCCGCGCGGGCCGGGCCCGGCGGCGGCATGGGTGAGAAATGTGGATGGCGGCTGAGCGCGGGGCAAGCGGCTGATGCGCTTGGCCGGCGCCCTCCAGGCGGCACCCGCAAACCCGCGCCCGAAAGGTGGGCGCGGCGCGCAGCCTACGCAGCTGGCAAGGGTCGGCGCGAACGGGAGAGCCGGCTGGCAGCTGCGCGGCAGCTACCACCCGCCGCAGGGGACGATCAGCAGCTCCTCCTCCCAGAACTCGCCATGACCCGACAGCAGCGCAAAGGGTGACACAGGCGTGCCCCCGCTGCCGCCGCTCGCAATGCTGCCGCCGCCGCCGCCGCCAGCCGGGCCCCTGCTGCTGCGGCGCGACGCGCCGCGCCTCGGGGTGGACCCCGCAGAAGTGCCCGCGCTCGCCGCCGCGCCCCCGCCCCCGCCCCCGCC